TTCACGTTCCTGTCCAGCGTTTTTTTTCAGCACCAAGTTTTCCTAAAGCGGGAACTCGGGATTCTAACTACAAGATACGTCTCGGTGCCAATATTAATTCGGTTTCCGTTGGAGACACTAACTTCCGTTAAAGATATTACATTCCACTATTTTTATCTTGCTAATTTGCCAAGTTAAGAAACTTTTGCCTGTTGGGGAATGAAATACTTGTCGCCCTTAATTAGCTTGTAGCTATTCTCTTTAATCTTAATTAATCTGGTTAAGCTTTTAGTTCTTACAATTACGTAATCTCTTTAAAGCGATTAAGTGGATTCGTGCAACAGATTTATTGACATTTGCTAAAGTAAGTAAATGCAAAAGTATGCATGAGAGATATTGTAATTAAGTGTATGCTTGCTAAGCCAGCTGGTGCAGAAAAGGTGGCCCTATCGTAAAACAAACGTCTGTTTTGCTCTCCTACAGTTATCTTAGCGACATACGTACGGCATAATTTTATTATTTCAGGAAGAGCCGAATTTTATGGAACGTTCAGACGGATGAAACGGACAGCAGGACGAAATATCTAATCCGGCAAAATTGTAATCATTGCCGCTGCAAGGACGAAATGGAAGCAGAACAGTATTTAACGTTAGGAATACGTCGAAAGATTATTTCAATTCGCAAACAGGATCTGTGGAATGGCAGAATGAGATGATATAAGGTCCGTATCGAAATCGAAATGGAACTGAATAAAATTCATTTTATATTCATTCGTTTCTAAACTAGACCGTAAGCACCTCATACATGTATAATATAATTATTTTCTTCTGCATGTCGAAAAACTCTGGTTCGTCCGATTGGACGATTGACACTGAGAAGATTTTCTCAATTAAAGTTTACGAATTAAAAATTACTCCATATCGCCAACCCGTCAACCATATTTTCGCTAAAACGCGGGTAGCCTAAGATAATCGTATTTGCGATAACAAAATTTGCAAACAATTATGATATAACAATATTACATATTTCTGTTGTTTCGTAGTATTTACGTGGAATACCAGAACTTGAAATCTTTACAAAACTCGCTACTTATATTCACAGCGTGTTTATCATTTCCAGTATGTTCCGACATTACTGAGTTCGCTCGCTAGATGGCTTCGGAAAGTATCCTCGCTTCTAGTCGAGGTTTCAGTTGGTTCGTATAAATACGAGAATTGAGGATATATGGATGTACTTGCTTCGGCAGTACATATACAAAATTGGATTATCGTAGTTTTTTATAGTTACAGTTTTCTAGGTGCTAAGGATATTAATGTAAAACTGAATAGTAATAAAATATAAATTTTAGGTGAATAATTAAGACATTGTATAGCAGCGAGATCCTCAGGCCATTCTGTCTAATATCTATTTTGCGTTTGTTTTACTTGTTTATTCCACCATATTATGTATTGGGATTTGACATCTTGAGTGGTGCCGTCTACTGCCGATAAGTCGAAACACTCAGGGCTTGGCATCCTTTGCGTAAATATTAAGTTTTCATTAATATTCTATTTAAAAAAAAAGTTATGGAGGCTAGAATTCTTCCCCCGCGTACAAAAAAAAATTATGATCACTGTGCAGTGAAAGGTTGCGGCAGTAGAGCAAATAATTCTGAACTTCATTTTCATAAATTTCCAAAGGCAAACGAATGCGTCGTCAAAATTACAAATGCGTTTGGTAACGTGGAGCAAGTTGATAAATTAAAAGCGTGGAAAATTGCTCTGAAAATAAATGTCATTAAGTCTAATACAAAAGTGTGTTCACTTCATTTCCACAAATCTGATTATATACTTCCAGGTAATTAATTATTATTATTCCAAACTTAAACATAATTGAGCTTAAGCATTTATTTAGATATTCCGTCAAAATTCAAACGCTTAAAAAAGACAGCAGTTCCTTTTCGTACTGATAGAAATGCAGAAAAAAATAAATTAAGATTAGAAAGAAGATTAATGAGATCTAGCGATGTTTTTTCCGCATTTTATAATGTGACCAGCTTTAAATACGCGTTCCCCTTCAACAAATTTTCTTTCTGAAGGGTTTGTACCCACCCATTCACAAATTTGACTTATACTTAAGAACATTATGGATAAAAACTAATTGATTTCCTATGTTTCTAATGCTAATCGCAAGCCCTTCGCCGCCATATTGATTTACTATATATATTGGCCACGCCTCCATGTCAAATCCCAATATTTGTGACAAATAAGAAAATAAACAATTGAAAAAAAATATACTAAAATTGGAACGATACAGAGATTAGCATGGCCCCTGCGCAAGGATGACACGCAAAATAATGAAGCGTTCCAACATTTTTGCAATCGGCGAGTCAATTATGGTTACTGTGACTTTAAAAAAATACGTCGAACAATTTTACAAACCTCACTTCTCTGAAAAATACAATTTTTTCTAAAAATTTATTGTTTCAAATACAGGATATAGGCTTTTATCACGTAAACTGACTTAAATCTTTGGCAGAGATCTTACGGCTTAAGGCCTGTTGACATTACCGTAAGCGTAGTGAAAATTCTACGTGGTGGGGGGCGAAATTTTGAACTCGAGAGATGCCCCGGCGTAGTCTACAGTAACGTAGTAAAAAATTGAAAGTATAGGGAAACCTATGTAAAAGCACGGGGGCTTCAGAAGGGCCCGCTGACTTCTTATGCAGACTATCGCGAAAGCACGAGTCCAATTGCTGAGTAGCTTCGAGTAGCTGCTAGATATAGCTGCTTTTTTTTATGGCCGACCCCGTAGTTTCTAGTCAACTCGACCGGGATTTCGAAACATCGTGGCTCACGAGGTCTAGCTGCTAGACTCTAGCAGGTACTCAGCGGGTGGTCGACCCGTAGTTTCGCGCTAGTCTGCGAAAGGAGTCGGTGGGCCCTTCTGAAGCCCCCGTGCTTTTACATAGGTTTCCCTATATTTTCAATTTTTTACTACGGTACTGTAAGCTACGCCGGGGCATCTCTCGAGTCCAAAATTTCGCCTCCCACCACGTAGAATTTTCACTACGCTTACGGTAATGTCAACAGGCCTTTACACGACACTTGATCCAACGTAGTAACATGTAAAGATGCTTAGGACTTTGTTTATAGAACATTATGTCACATGTATCATGTATGTGCTGCCACCGAAGCGGTGGGCAGAACATGACGACTAGAGAGCGGACGTATGTTAGTAAGCTTTAAATAAAGTACAGAGTACCTAATAATAATAAGACGGAGTGCATTTATTACACATTACACTGCCTTGAATTCATGTTTCATAACTTTCATTGCCAGTCAGATCCAAAATTGATCAATGTCTACCATTGTGCTTTTTATACGTTTCTGTGATTCATTTTTCATTTGAAAACATCTATAGATTTCTCATAATCATACGTTAATGATGCTTATTGAGATTCGCATGATATTTTCTTGCAACTCTCCACATGAATAAACAGTAAATTTCTTTAATAAGTTTTGCGACTTTTATTGTGATGCATTGTTCATCGTATCTTTCGAAGTTGAATAGCCTACCTGTATTTGTACCGCTTGCGTCCTTTATTGGTTTTGCTTCGCAAATTATGTGAAATTATGAAATACGTCTGGTTGCCTCGACAGGCAATTGGTTTGGAAAGAGTGCCGCGCGGAATGACCTGGGTAAAAGCTTATCGGCTTGTTAAATCGAATTTACTGGATCCATCGTTTAATTCGGTATCCAGTCGCGGACGTGCCTGCTCGCGGTATTTACATAAACCGATAATTGTTAGGTTGCACGCTGCAGGTCGGAGGAATTTAATAACGGCATTCCCGTCGCTCGTTTCCTGTTTCCTTCGCACGACGGATACACGAATTTAATACGAAAGTGTCAGAATAATTCGCAACGATTCATACCGATTTTTATGAAAATATTACTTCAAATGCGACATATATTGGTAGTTCGGAAAGTAATTCGGTTATTTCTAAACAGAGGACTTAATTATATTTTTTTTTGCACAAGGTCACGCTTAAGCCGCATTGTATGTTATACATTTTGAGAGCTGATGTAGCAAGGTTTGTTTGTGAAAGATTATGCTTGATTCTGTGCAATAGTTTTTGTTCGGTGCCTTATCAAATATGGAAAATCGAAAGCATCGTTTTCGGCATGTTTTACTTTTTCACTATCGAAAAGGTAAAAGTGCTGTTCAAGCAAGAAAAAAGTTTTCGACGTGTATGGAGAAGGTGTATTGATAGAATGCCAGTGCCAAAAGTGGTTTACAAAATTTCGTTCCGGTAACTTTGATGTTGAAGATGCACCACGTTCTGGAAGGCCAATTGAAGCTGACAAAGGTAACATAAAGACATTGAGTGATGCAAACTGCCGAATGTCAACTCGCGAGATTGCTAAGAGATTAAATTCGACCGTTCACGATCGCGTCTTGATTGATTTCGATGCCTTGATTGATGACGTCTTGGTTTGATTTCACAACTCGACATATGGGTTCCTTTCCCATAATGCAAGACCTCATACAAGTCTGGTGATTCGCCAAAAGCTTTTACAGCTTGGATGGGATGTACTACTACAACCACCGTATTCTCCAGATCTGGCACCTTTGGATTATCACTTGTTCCAGTCTCTACAAAATTTTTTAGACGACAAAACTTTTACTTCAAATGAGGACGTTAAAAATGGCTTCGATCAGTTTTTTGCCAGCAAAGGTCAGAAAGTATTGGACCAAAATAGATGCCACTGCCAGAAAGATGGCAAAAGGTATCGGACCAAAATAGAGAATACATAATTCACATACATATATCATTCATACACTATAAGAAAGTCGTCTTCCATTTTCACCAAAAAGAACGAAATTACTTTCCGAACAACCTAATATTTAAATCGTAAAAGAGAATTCATTTACTGTCATAATTGAAAAAGTATTGAGTACTTACCTCGATTTTCTTCCCACGTGGTTTCGTTCGAATCGCTAAAACGAATCTGGGTAAGAAATAAAAGTGAAAACGTGCTTGATTGAATCTCATTTCGTATGGTAATTTATTACAATTTGTACAGATTACAAACCGGTATCTATGTATGTGTCCTGTTCTTCGTTAAACACTTTGAAAGGAGAGAATATTGAATAGAACGGCGCACGTCGCTGTGCAAACGTTGTCGCACTCATTGTCAGTTACAATAATATTAGTTTACCCTTGTACGTACCTTTATATATTCTTGATGCACTTAATGAACACTGGGGTCGCTAGACATATGCGCAAAAAAAATGGAAAACAGTCCTACTGAAATATATGTATGTAAGAAATGCAACAACAACAACAACAACAATAACAGCTATTTATCAGCGTGGACGAAAATGGAAAATGAAGCTAGAGGAGAACGACTGATAAACACAATTTTTTTTATTCCTGGGACATACACCGCGTGCAGGAGGCTGCAATTTAAGAGAGATACCATTCTTTCATTCTCTCGCAGATCCAATTTCCATTCCGCTATTTCTCCCCTGTTTAATTGCATTTTACTATGCACGCGTTCGGATTCACGATACTTTTCATCTTTGCATCGGATATCTAATCCTAGAAAAAAGAACACGATCGAGGAAACGCATCATCGCTCGGGTTATCCACTTGTCTCTATTACAAGGTCTGCCATCGGAAAATAGCTACTAACGCGTGCGTTGCGTTGCTTGAAAATAAAATGATGTCTGGGCCTGGGCGATTATGATTCTCGCTGGATATTCATGTTCGATGTCGATACTCTTTTGCTTTCGTTCTGATCTCCCGTTTAACGCGTAGGCCCATTCTTAATAAAAATCAACTGTTATTCGAACTATCTAATCCATACATAGTAACGTACATAATTGGAAGCCCTAGACTACTAGGTTTTACATGGACGATGTTTCATTTTCGCTTCTCTCTTCCTCTTCTTAGTTGTGTTGTGTAGAATCAAACAATTGTAGCAGTGGCCTGACGAACGCGTACAGGCTACCTGTTGGCGGCAGTGATCGACATCGATGAAGAGACCAGGAACACGATGGTAGTTATGAGAATTGTCATCGTCAAAGTAGTCCAGGTGAAGCTCAGTCCAGCAGAGCTGTTTCCAACTGTGATAAAAGATAAGCAGAATTAGAATTTTGTGATTTCAAATGTTTCTTTAATCCGCTATAACATCGAGAGAAAAAATCGCAGAGGCTCGATTTTGCTGTTAAATTAAAGACGAAACGTCAAGCTTTCATTATTAAACCACTTCACTATAAAATGTTGGAGGCTGTAGGTTATAGAAAGACAAAAAGGGATCAGGGTAGAGTATTGCTAATGTTTTATTAAGTTTGTAGAGGATGCGAGTACTTGTGCTTGACGGTACACAACGTAACGTCGCTAGTATCTTGCGTCTGACTCCACTTCATTTACAGCACGTTCACTGGAGAAAGAAACGTAACGTGTATGCGCGAAAAAAAGAAAACAGCCACACCAAGTATATGTGATTTTACATCATTCCAATAACAAAAATTGTCCAAGTCCACGCGCATAGTCAAACTTCGTTAATGTTTTAATTTCAAACATTTCCCTAAAGGGTCTAGCAGGATAAGCATGGTGAATCGGCCCCCACGTCGATTTTCGTTAACAGTATGCGCAAACCATTCCTCCTAGTGTGCAAAATGATCCCCTAAAATTTCAAGTCGCTATCTCATCGTTTAAGGGTAATATGAGGGTAAACACCCTTAACTTTACCATTGTTTTTCTCGGAAACCACTTAAGATATCTGGATGAAAAAAATACTGAAACACGCGTATTGATCCCCTCTATAACATATATTTTTTTGAGAATTTTACATCAACTGCAACTGGCTGATAAAAAATAATCTATTTTTTAGTGGTGGGTTTAGCACCCTTTGAGGTACCACCACCAAAAAATTGTAGAATAATGCTCTATTACCTGTCTGTTATTTGTAAAATTTTCAGGATGATAGAATTGGTGGAACATAGTTAAATACTTAAAGATGTATCGAAGCTGTACATTGGGATAAGGGATTGGGTACTAACTCATGGACGTACAAACAAGAAGTAATTGTGAAATATTTATTCAATCTTCGTCGCTGTTTTCATCAATAACTGGTACGGTACTTGTTACATCAAATATGTGCGTTAATATCTCCGCTGGTCTTACAATCCTCGATTTACAATCCGTCTTACAATCCTCAAAGGGTAGCTTGCTAAACCAACCACTAAAAAATAGATTATTTTTTATCAGCCAGTTGCAGTTGATATAAAATTTTCAAAAAATATACATTATAGAGGGGATCGATACACGTGTTCCAGTATTCTTTCATCCAGATATCTTAAGTGGTTTCCGAGAAAAACGATGGTAAAGTTAAGGGTGTTTACCCTCATATTACCCTTAAACGATAAGATAGCGACTTGAAATTTTAGGGGATCATTTTGCACACTAGGAGGAATGGTTTGCGCATACTGTTAACGAAAATCGACGTGGGGGCCGATTCACCATGCTCATCCTGCTAGACCAGGCATGGCCAAGTACACGTGCCCCACTGTAGCTGTTCTCCCTATTTCGTGCAGTAGGCCCAGGAAGCCCTCACATTATTTCAGTATGTTACGAGCGTGCATCATACACACTATTAACCGTTCGGACTGCGTGCCCCACTCCCGGGCAAGGTCGTGTCGTGCGGCGATAACTTTGGCCATACCTGTGCTAGACCCTTTGGACATTATCTATGATACGTGTGTATGAAGTTAAAAGTCTCTGGATAGCATTTTAAAATAGCTTTTTCAAGCTTTAATTTAAAAGAAATCATCGTTCTACGATAACTTTTAGCTGAGTAATCATTTTCCAAACTTGGACCCCTTTTCGACACACGTGATGCCACAATATTTTAATACTATGAAATGTTGAAGTAACGGATTTTCGTATAATATAATGTTCACATCAGAAGTATTCAATTAACGAAACATCTGTTCATTATAATATTATCAGACGAAAGCGGTCAGATAAATAAAATTGGAAACTGAGAAAGCACATACAAAAATTCAACACAGGTAAAATAATTTGTCTTGCAGAAAATGATTAAAAAGTGAACAGGACCAGAACAGTAATGAAGGTCGAATGTCAGCGACTTAATTAATTCCAAAATACTTTCTGGCGACGCTGTACGGCATGGAGCGGGCATATCGACAATCCATTTGCCGCACTCTTCCGGAAACGTGCGGTATTAATCAAACTCTGTCGCGGTTTCGTTGAAGTCACGATGCTATTGGTCACCGTTCACCGTCACCAACCAAAGGTTTTCCTCTTCAATTAGAAGTTGGTCAAAAACGTTATTCTCCACGGTATCTCTCATTCTAATTGTGACCGAACAAAATCAGAGGGAGAAAATAAACAGTTCGCTGTTTTCGTAGTCAAACAATTGAGGCCCACTGGTTATTTTCGGTATAAAATCTGCCTTTTTCAAGTTAGCTTTCATTGCCAAGTACGTTCGGCTGGGATCCTGTTTTCTACATTACTTTTAAGCTGTAATCTTAAGCTATTAGCAAAAGACCATTTCGGACTCTATTTTTCTTCCGTTTCTATCGGATTTTTCCGTTGCGTTGTAATTATTGTTTCATAAATGCACGTCAAAATTTCAATGGGTTCAATCAACATGGGAAAATAAATAAAAAATATTATGTGGACGAATTAGTATCAAATTATCGACAATTGACCGACATTAACGTCGTTGACAGGACTAGTTCATCAACAGTGTTTAAATCAACGTTTGTTTCACCGACATTGACTTCGCTAACGGACATTTGCTTTAATCATCCATAATTCAAAAACTAATTGTAAGGCATAAGCCAAAGGGAAAGTGATACAATCCGATTAGTAAAAACATAAAATTCGTTGGACGATAATTCCATGGTGCATGGAGGGAAATATTCTGACGTGAACGAATTTTTTTTATGGAACATAAAGCTCAAGTTTTGCTTATCAGTAAACCTACACAGAATGTAGCCGAACGGATAGTATAACCAAGCAAAGGGTGATACGTGTAAAAATAAGTCGAAAATAAAGGAATAACATCATTTCGTTTAACACTTGATTTCCGAGATAATCGAGTTTGTAATTTTATCCTTCATCTTTTAGTATGCAATTGTCATCCAATCTTCCTGTATCTTCTATGTATTTTGCTGTACTCGAACTGTAAGTCTGGCGTGGACATCATGTATGTCTGTACGTTATTTTTTACTTGTTTCAGTACCCAGATTGTAAATATACCTTTTGAAATATTGTAAAGCATTTATGAAATATCCTGAATACTGTGCAATCACTGCAGTTGAACTGTAATAGAAACAGGTCTACCTTAAAAAAACCAATTAGGTTTCACGGGTCAATTGAGCCCGATGTATAAATGTTCGCTCTCTCGAGCTTGTTAAAACGTTCGAATTTTCTCCTCAAAGTGCTTAGCCAATATCCGGTCCTGACAGATGAAGAGACTTCGCGGATTTTTACTCTGTTATGGATTTAATCTTTCGCTGAACGAACGATGTAAGTTTAAAAGTACCACTTTGAACCGTCCACCCCACCGATAAAATTATTGAAGATTTTAAGGGTATGAATCGCGCTGTGCCGAGCTGGTACATTGTGAATCCAGAACAGTGTTCCTTTTTTATACATTCAATTAGGTAGAAATTTTACAAGTTTAAAGGAATTTGGTTAACATTCGACTGAGAAATCTCGGTTAATATTATCAATAGAAGAAATGGTTTGTGTCTTGTAACACAAGAATATCTTGGAATCCTTATTTTACTAAAACTTAGAGAAAAGTTAGTGCCCGCGTTTTGTTTATTACTCCCTCTGTCCGAAAATATAATATAAATCTTTTTTGTCCGAAGACATGGTATATACAGGGTGTCCCAGAATTAATACTATGCCCGAAAATGAGGAGGAGCTGAAGTGATTTTAAACAATATTTTCCTTTGCAAACAAGTTGTCCCATTTTTGGGCGTAGTATTAGTTCTGGCACATGCTGTATTTGCGAAAAAATCAAATAAGATTGAATATAAAAAAATATTAAATTCATTTTATTATCACAATATAACTAAATGTAAATAATTTTAGTCTAATTCAAATTTAGTTAAAGTTAGATTTAGCCTTGTTGAACGCTTCTGAACATATATACTTTTCACTTATATAACAATTCGAAACTGAAGTAACTTTAATTTAAATCTAGGGAATGTAAACATAGCAACAATATGAACTTCGACGTAAGGAACTTTTCTTTGATTCCATATTTAAGATCTATACACTTTTCCAGATGGTAAGTGACCGCAGTGATTGTGTTCAATTAGAAGGATTATATCAGATAATACAAATTACTATCTTTCAAGAAATCTAAAGTTTTTTACAAGTTTGTGTTATGAGATAGAACTAATCTTCATTTAAACTGAAATGTAGTTTTCGTACTCAATTATTACTATTACAAGTATGAATGTTTTTTTTTTTATCTCAGAAGATATCGACATCGATTTAGTATAATAAATATATGAAAGAGACTTTCAAAAATACATTCTATATTTCTGTGTACATTTCTTATTTCTGAGGTAGAGTAAATTTAACAAGGATGAATGGCACATGAATGATGAAAAAGCGTTTCTTGAGGAACGTCTTCATCAATTTCAACTTCTTATTATATCCACGTGTTATATCCATGTTTTTTAGAGTAATATGAAGAAATTTTGTACACATGTATATTGCAAGCTACATATTTTGAAAAGGCGTGGAACGAGAGATGATATCTTTTAGGAAACGTGAACTTTTCAGTTGTCCTATTACTTTAATAATAGCTTTGTTCGACTTTCGTATACTAAAGGGGGAACAAAACGAATGCTAATTATCAGATCAATTTCTGTACACGTAAGTATTCCATGGTCGCACTAAGTGTTCCGTCCGTTCAACGGAAAAATAGAGTTTATGACCGGTTAGCATTAAAAGGGATTAACTCGTCACTACATAGCATTTTCCAGTCATACAGGAAAAGGAAATAGAGTTGCCTCGAAGCAAAAGGCACTTCAATGCATTTCCAAGAACCGATTGCCAGCCCACGCGAAGG